ACCTGGAGGTGCAGCAGGTGGTGGGGGTGCTGGCCTTCCAGGGCCACTCTGGGGCTTCTGCTCCAGAGAGAGGCAGCCCGAGTCCCCTGAACCTCTCCCACGGCAGCCATGGACAGAAGGCAGACTCAGACAGGAACCTCTCGGCAGTTGCTCTGGCTGCAGCAGCTGACAGGAGGCCCTCAGAGCAGGAACAGGAGCAGCTTTATCCCGGGCAGATGCTTGCAGGGACAGCGGTAGCCAATGGGAAGCTGGGCCCCTTCCGTCCGGCCATTCGTGACTGCGTCCCGGGGTCCCCGAGCCCAGAGGAGGGGGCGGCAGAGTGTGCCCCCCGCTCCCAGGGCCACCTGCCCTCCCACTTCATGAAGGGGGCTATCATCCAGCTGGCCACTGGCGAACTGAAGCGAGTGGAGGACTTGCAGACCCAGGATTTTGTGCGTAGTGCGGAAGCCAGTGGAGGCCTGAAGATCGACTCCAGCACGGTGGTGGACATCCGGGAGAGCGCCTGGCCAGGCCTTGTGACGCTGCACTTTGTGGTGGGGGAGCAGCAGAGCAAGGTGAGCATTGATGTGCCTCCCGAGCACCCTTTCTTTGTCTACGGCCAGGGCTGGTCCTCCTGCAGCCCCGAGAGGACTGCCCGGCTCTTCGCCCTCCGTTGCCATGGCCTCCAGGTGGGCGACGTCTGTGTCTCCATCAGTCTCCAGGGCCTCAACGGCCACCCAGCTTCTCTGGCTAGCCCTGAGGGTGGGGAGAGGCCCAGCCGAGGCAGGCAGGGCGTCCTGCGGGAGCCCTCAGGGGTCCCAGCTGCAGAGAGGAGCCCCCCAGGGCTGGGAGGAGTGGGAAGAGGGCCCTCCCCAGAGGTCTCCCAGTTCAGCCCCGCTGTCTCTGCACTCGGCTGGGCAGGCACCGGTCCCCAGAGGCTCGGGGAGGAGTCCCTCAGGCCGCCCCTCCTGCGCCCCTCCTTCATTCCTCAGGAGGTCAAGCTATCTATTGAAGGCCGCTCTAATGCAGGGAAGTGACCCTCTGGAGAACTGCATTGCTTTCCTGCAAGGCCCAATCGGGCCTCTTCTGGTCTGGTCTGTGCTCAGACCTCCCTGGTCGGTCGCCCAGGACCCCACCCAGCCTTCCCTGCAGCCGTGCGCCTCAATGCATTCCACTGAGAGAGCCCCCCTTTCCACCAGCAGGGCGGTGTTTAGGTCAAGAGTCAGGGCAGACGCAGGTGGGGGAGCCCTTGCTGCTCTTCTTCTGGAGGCAGGGGGCAAACTTCCAAGACCCCTCCTCACACAAGCACTTTACTAGGTCTCTGGCTTACTTACGAGGAGAAGCACTTGTGCCAGGCGCTTGCAGGGAGACTGAGCAGGCAAGGGCCAGGCCTAACCTCAGACAGCAGAGAAGCCCTGGATTGCCTTGGGTTGCCTCAGCAGCACGCCCTGAGTCTAGGAAGCTCATGCTCCTCACCTGGGACCAGGGAGAAGGTGGCCTCCGCAGTCCCTTTGAGTCTCGTTCCAAGTATGCAGCCTCTGCGCCCTGCAGCTGAGTGGGAGCCAGATCCAAAAAACAAGCGAGTTTGGGAGATAGCGTGTGTATCCGAGGACCCATCCACACTGTTTGTCTATACAGGAATGGGCCCTCTAGGCTCCCTGTCTGTGGACAGTGTCCTTCCCCTCCTGTGTGGCTGGTGTTCCAGTCCCTTCCTGCTGTAACAGGGCACCTGAATCCTGGGCCCTTCTCATCCAGGTAGAGCCCTTGGTCCCTCTGGGAAACAGAGCCACTCCATCGCCAACATCAGGGGAAGAAAGCCTGCCTTCCTGGCTGCTGACCATTGGGAGTACAATGCAGCACCACCATGCCACCTGATTAGAGGGCTGAAAGAGCCCAATGCAGGCCAGGAAATGTTGGGGTCCCAGCTACAGAGGAAGAGCTCTCCTCTCACTCCACCCCCCGGCATGTGCCCACTCCTTTGCACAGAGAGGCAAACAAAATTTGAAAAATTTGGAGATGGCTGGCAGTTAAACCTGAGGTGCTGCACCAGCTTTCCAACCTAGTCCCCTGCCTGCCTCAGAGTTGGCCCTCAGGCCCTGCGGTTTTTTCAGGGCATCGTAAAGCAGCAGCTTCTCTGATCAGCCCTATACAAAAAGCAAGGGAGGACTTGGCTTTCCTTCCGGAGCCTTTCTGGTTTCTTCACCTTGGGACCAGGGAAAAGGAGGCATTTGTGTTTGTCTCCAAGTGTGCAATCGCTGGCATTGGCACTCTGTGCTGTCTCTGCCTGCAGCATTGCCACTCCTCCAGCTGAGAGGTAGCAGAGGCAGGAGGACAGCTTTGGGGGCTGTTGGAAAGTCCCTTCCCTCCTTTCTTTGGGGTTCAAATGAGCCTTGGGTGAGCCTTTTTCTCAGCTTTCTCTGACATGATCCACAATGTATTGTTTTTGTCCTGCTAATTGTCTGCTGTGCTCCTGCTGCCTGAGGCAGCCTGTCCCCAACTGGGTTGTTGTCATCCGCAGCAGAGGGGCCTGGGCCGCTGCTCTTCCTGAGACGGGGGTTCGGGAGCCCAGGTTCCAGAGCAATAAGTCATTCCCTCCCCATACCCTACAGCGGGCCCCTTGCCCAGCAGTGCCTTCCCCATGGGGCCCCAGAGCGGCTCTTGGGCTGGTCTCAGCCCAGCAGCTTCTTTGCAGGACTCCACAATGCAAGGCAGGCAGGCAAGGAAAGAAGGCGATGTTGTGGCCCCCGCTCCCCGCCTGGGCCCCTTGCAAGCACCTTAGTCCCACGTGCAAATGTGTGCGCAGTGCACCAGGAGCCCCAGCCGCATCCCAGGCCAAGCCTTAGGAGTAGCTGTCTGCCCGGCCCTGTCTCTCCCACCTACCCTTTACTGAAGCATTACTAGTCCAAGGGGGATAATCTATTTTGTTGTGCTTCTTTTGTATCTGTTTTAAATAAATCAATTTGTACTGTATATTTGTACTTTTGAGTCAGATCCCTTTCCCTGTTTTACCATTTAAAGTCTCTGTACACACAGATTGTATTTTTATTGTTAACGCTCTTACAGATACTGCATTTAACTTGCTGACCATGTAAACAGTATATATGCATATATCTATATATCTATATAATTATAAGCCTATAGCTTTTACCTTTCTGTGTCTGCCTCTTACTCATGCCGTGGAGCACTGCCCTGGCCAGCCTCTTTGGAACGGATTTGGGAAAAGCCCCCCCCCCCCTTCCCTGGGCACTTGGTTTCACTGCCAAACCACTTGGTCAAAATGTTCCTTCCTCTAAAAGCAGTGGTTCTCAATCTTCCTAATGCAGTGACCCCTTAATACAGTTCCTCCCGTTGTGGTGACCCCCAGCCATAACATTGTTTTTGTTGCTACTTCACAACTGTAATTTTGCTATTGTTATGAATCGTCCTGTAAATATCTGATATGCAGGATGTATTTTCATTCACTGGACCAAATTTGGCACAGATATCCAATACGCCCAAATTTGAATACTGGTGGGGTCGGTGGAGGGAGAGGGGGTTGATTTTGTCATTTGGGAGTTGTAGTTGCTGGGATTTATAGATCACCTCCAATCAAAGAGCATTCTGAACCACCAATGATGGAATTGAACCAAACTTGGCACACCAGAAAATTCCCACGACAAACAGAAAATACTGGAAGGGGTTGGTGGGCATTGACCTTGAGTTTTGGAGTTGTAGTTCACCTACAGCCAGAGAGCCACTGTGGACTTATGATAGATCTGGACCAAACTTACACAATACTCAATATGCCCAAATTTGAATACTGGTGGGGTTGGGGGGGGGGGGGGTTTGCTGGGGTTTATAGTTCACCTAAAAACAAAGAGCATTCTGAACTCCACCAACGAAGGACTTGAACCAAACTTGGCATACAGAACTCCCATAACCAACAGAAAATACTGGAAGGGTTTAGTGGGCATTGACCGTGATTTAGGAGATATGTAGTTCACCATTTCTAAGACCATCAGAAATATGTTTTTTCTGATGGTCTTTGGCGACCCCTCTCACCGGGTGTCCCGACTCCCAGGTTGAGAAATACTTCTCTAAAGTTCAGTTGAAATCCCCCCTCCTGTGACTTAAAAGCTATAGCACTGGTTCCTATCCTCTGGAGCAGCAAAAACAGACACACACCCCAGTCCCTCAGGCCAACCCTTGAGGTATACATAGAATGTGTTCATGTGCCCCTCAAACTTCTCTCTACCAAGCTAAACTTGTCCATTTCCATTGATCTTGTAAAGGCGTTGGTCTCCATGCCTGAATCTACTCCAACTTGACAACCAGAAATGAAAGAGGAAATGAGTCTTGACCAGAACAAGTACAATTAATTTATTCTCTTGACTGCCACCCCAGCCCTAACTGGGCTGGGGTCTGCTCCCAACTCGCAGTGCCCGTCCCACCCTGGCATCCTCTCCCTCTTCAGCGAAAGGGTGCAGCTCCAACGCAAGGACCCCCTGCAATGGTCCATGGCTTTCAGGGGATTTCAGTGCAGGGCGCTGGCGCTGGGCTCTTCAAAGGCCATCTTGCCCAGGAGTTGGCCATCCAGCTCCATGCCGCCCACGGGAAGTGGGAAGAAGTTCATCTCTGCGGCCAGAGCGGCCATGGCCGAGGGGTCCTGGCCAAACTGAGCCCGCAGCATCATGTCCATCTTCTCCAGCCGCCGCTTCAGCCGTTTGGCCTCACGCTCCCGGATGAGCCGGGCCTGCCGCTTCTCGGGCGTCTCATTGGCACGCTTGAGGCGCATGGCTTCGCGGTCCCGCTGCAGGCGGCGCGCTCGCTGTTCGTCCGTCTCCTGCAGACGCTGCATCCGCTTGGCCTCCCGGTCCCGCATGCGCCGCACTTCCCGTTCCTCAGGCGTCTCGCTGTCCCGCCGGCTCTTCTTGGCTGTCCGCTCCCGCTCCAGGCGCTGCAGTCGGGCCTCCACGGGCTCGTTCTGCCGCCGCACGGCCCACTTACGCACCCCGGGGGCCTGGGCCTCCAGCAGCTTCCGGTAGGCCACACAGCTGTTGCACACCAGGAGGAGGCCTGCGGGGAAGACCGCCGGGCCCGGGGCGGCAGGGTCTCCATCAGGGGTCTTCTCCTGGGTCTCGGAGGAGCCCTCAGGGAGTGGGATGGGCAGGGCATCTCCACACAGCACTTCTGGCACCTTCTCGCTGCAGAAGACAATGAGCAGAGGGAAAGGCCTGGGGCAGACTTCCACAAATACCTTCCATTGCTATCCCGACCTCACCCTTGGGGCTAATCCTCAGTGTAAACCAACTCCCAGCTCTTCTCAGCCACCCTGCCTACTGAGCCTTTGGACTAGAATCCCTTTGGGAGAAGCAAGTCCTTTCTCTTTCCCACAAAGCCAGGGAATCCCACCTCTTGCCCCCCACTGCAGTTTCTCACCTGTTGAAGGTGGCGTGGCTGGTGAAGCGGGCGCCACAGACAGCGCAGTTGGAGAGCTGATCCTCAGAGTGGATGAGGAGGTGCCGGCCCAACGAGCCCGGGGAGCTTAGTGCACGGCCGCAGACGGGGCAGAGGTAGCTCTTGGCACTCACCGCGGCTGCTGTGTGCTGCAAGGGAGGGAGGCCAGGTCGTGAGGGGCGGGGAGTGTCTTGGAGAGAGGGCAACTATAAGCTCTTCCTCTCTCCTCCCCCTCAGGACCCTGGTACTTCCTGTCCTTTGAGCCTACAAGGTGGGTCAGGGATGGAAAGGCCTGGATAAAAACTGGAAAATGGGGGAGACAGCCCCCCCCCCCCAAAAAA